CAGTTAGTCTCAGCTTCCCGCCGCTCGTTTGCATTTATCTATGATGGCTTCACGGACTTTCTCCACTGTTTTCGTCGCTCTCTGTGCTTTCCAGGACATCAATCCCGTGACGGGCAACGCCAATGACTGCGACACAGAGTGTGCCACAACTTACCCTGGGTCATATTGTAAGTATTGGAAGACGCCGAGCACCTGCTTCGGCTCGGATGCCCCGTGCTTCTGCGGCACGAGTGGACCGACTGAGGCTCTCCGAGGTTCCACGTCCTCTGCTGCAGTCACGGATGAGGTCACTGAGGCCGCTACAAGCGAAGAAGGTACGACAGCAGCTCCCGGAGCGACGAGTACGACTGGTTCTGAAGCTACTGTCGATGCCACAGTAGCGGCCAGTACAGCTGCGGTGACCGATGAGGTGGCTGTCACTACTGCACCTCCTGTGACTGGCGAAGTGACCATCAGCACGGCAGCTGGGGAAGCTCCCGGTAGAGACAAGGATGACTCTGATGCTACCACCAAGGTCGCTACGGAGGCTGCAACTGTCACCACTACGATCGGTGCTCCTGTTGAGCCTACTACTACTATAACGTCCCCTTTCCCGGTCAGCACAGCTGCTGTGACCGATGAGGTGGCTGTCACTACTGCACCTCCTGTGACTGGCGAGGTCACCATCACCACGGCAGCTGGGGAGGCTCCCGGTAGAGACAAGGATGACTCTGATGCTACCACCCAGGTCGCTACGGAGGTTGCGACTGTCACGACTACGATCGGTGCTCCTGTTGAGCCTACTACTACTACTATAACGTCCTCTTTCCCGGTCAGTACAGCTGCTGTGACCGATGAGGTGGCTGTCACTACTGCACCTCCTGTGACTGGCGAAGTGACCATCAGCACGGCAGCTGGGGAAGCTCCCGGTAGAGACAAGGATGACTCTGATGCTACCACCAAGTCGCTACGGAGGCTGCAACTGTCACGACTACTATCGGTGCTCCTGTTGAGCCTACTACT